GCTGCCAATTTTGTATGAAAATTTCTGCCATGTTCAGGTGGATGTTTTTAGACTTATGGTGTACTCAAGGCAATTTTCATCCACAATCGAGATCAGTTGTTGAACGCGCGAAAACCATGGAATTTTCGACAGCTACGTCGTACTGATGTAGGAGTGTTTAGCAACATCCATCTATTACGCCATCAAGAATTGGAGGAGACACCCACATGTCGCAAAGCGAGCGTGTTGCCGTCAATTCGTATGGCAGTAAATGTATATATATGGTGTGTATAACACCATCGAAAAGATTCGCTGTACTTGGAATTTTTGTCATAAATACTCGATTTCAAATACTTAATTGGAACTCACTGTCAATGTTTTGGAGAGATGGACAGCCTTCTGGAACTGTTCTGACTTGAACTCATTACCGCATTCGAAAGTTTAGACCAAAATTTATTCAATTTTCAGGAGTCTGAGTTTCACAGCCAATTGTATATGAAGTATTACTTACTTATAGTTCGTACACACTTACAACGTCACATTTTCTTGCTTATCAAATATTTATTAGTAACCTGAGAGTGTTTCATTTGAATTTATTTTATATTCAGTCAGATCTACTCTATTCTTGGCAAAATGATTTATATTACTTAGCACTTCAGTCAACCGATAACACTTGTTAACCAGACTGCATATGTGTCGAATGTTGGACGGTTGTTTCTTTCTTCTTGCGACGAATATGTTGACAATGTATCCAAGTTAATGCAACGCATCCATCAGTAGCTGTAGGGTTGTTCTATGTGTTAACAATGATTCTAGTAACTGAGATTTTTTAAATAGATTGCAATCGTTTAACTTTTCTGAATGTTAGATTGGTTGTTAGAAAGGTTTGTATTTCATCCTCCACTTTCGTTTCTCCTCCTGAATGATATTATGGTATAGTAGTGTGGGTTTGTTTAGAAATGTATACTATTACTAGAGTTGAGACACGTTGCTCTAACCAGCCGCTTAGCTATAAGCTCAGAGTTTCTTTTAAATTTGGTATCTGTCAAGCTTTAGTGACTTTTAATGTTATACATCTAATGTTCTTCATATATTGGAATTAAATCAGGTCAGCAGATATATATATATATGTATATAAATGTGTACTTTAGCACTACTGAGGAACTGAAAATAAGAGGCTAGATTCAAACTTTTCGGTGGGTGTCTTGACAAAAGTCTTCCTCTTTAGAATATTGCGAAAGATGTTTTTAAGAGTAAGGCACTGGTTTGAATTTATAATGCTGATAACGACATTCAATCCATCCAACGTAAAAGGATTTAGGATAAGAACACATCAAGAACATCCTTGCTTTCGCTTTTCACTTATAAAAGGCACATTTTTTCTTGCTGCTTGTAGTATACTCATCCATAACATGTGAACGCATTTATTTGTGTCTTTTAGAGAAGCCTACTGATTCAATCTATTTTTCATATTGTGTGATTAATTCTCACTCTGTATGTAATTGAGTGTTAATTTTGTCCTGCTATGCATTAGCTGGTTGTATACATGATATGTTGTAACTACGTCAATTTGAATACAATATTTCTAGCAATAAAATTTCCATAAGCCTTGCAAGTGTCTTCTGAATTCACGCTCTACGTATTCACGAATTGAAACTTTTAGACACATTGAAAAAAAAGATTTAACTGTGAGTTTTTGCAGTAAAGTAAACTACCCATCAAAATGTCATTGCAGTGGTATTTAGCGTTTTTATAATTATGTTCGAAAGAATTTTGTATTCTTTTATTAGAACTTACGTGGATTTATCATCCATTTGCTATTTCATTATATAATTTCAAGCACTCTAGCAAACGTTTACTGATGGTTAAAAATGCGTGTAAGATATAGAGCCTCATAGAAATTTTAAATATTGAAGTTAACATGTCAAGAATACACTGCGCTTTCAGAGAAGTTCCAAGGTAACTCCAACAGCATATTAAATCACCGGATACAAGTGATTCCAGACATAGATGTCCAACATCACTTATCGTTACACATATGAAAGAGACAGGCAACAGGTTTGAGTTCATTAATGTCTTGAAACCCATATATAAAACATGTTTGGGTCACATACTTAGATTCATTAAAGCCTTGGACATAAAAAGACTTAAATCTATCTTATGTGTTCATTACTTTGAACCTACATTGACAATCCAATTCGGAACCGAAGTTCAATTAACTTAATAATATTTTCACTCCCTTCCTTCTCTTTTCTTACCCCACATTCTTACATCATTTTCCTCCCTCTTTTACTTGTGACCTAGATCTGTACACAATTCGACCTGTTTTGTAATAATCCATACTCTCTGGCCTTCTATATTGATGCATATGGCAAGTACATGTATGATCAGAATGTCCTAAATGTGTTGCACAAATACATGTTTCGGTTAAACTACATTGTATTGTTTCGTCAAAACTCGTAAGGGGGAACTAATTACTTTAAATTGGGATTGGCTTTGTTGACAATGCCTCTGATGATAATTACGCGAATTTGTTGAGTGTGAATCTGAATCACCAGTATTCGCTTCAAGAGGGAAAGCATACGATCGCTTGTATTTTAACCATTAGTACTTTATAATGCTGATGACACATTTATTATTTCTCTATGAGTTCAATGTTTTCACCACGGTATTTTGTTTTTCCTTACACATTGAGAATAATCATTACTTCAAGTAGAGTTTCTCAATTTTTACGGCATGCCCACTCATACTTGAGTCCACCTTTCCCTTGTGTTTTAAACGTCAGTGTTCCTTACCAGGCTACTGAGACACAAGTTTCATTACTAGTGCAATGGATTATTATTATTATTGCTTAAAACTAGGGTTACCAAATACTACCATCTCTATACTGCATATATATTTTCTCTCACACGGTTTGTTTTAATCGATTAAGATACGATCTCTAATAGTATTATCAACTCTTGTGTGTATTTAAAATGTTTACAAGCTTCTGATTCGCAAGTTCCTCGTAAACGAGAAGGAAGGCTTGAGTGTGGGTGGCAACATGTTATAATATATGAGATAATTGTTTTTCACTTATTTCCTTATGTCTCAAAATGTAATGTAATGTTTGAATTTACAGGCTGATAACAATATTCAATCCATCCAAAGTAAAAGGATTTAGGATAAGAACACTCATCGAGAACATTCTTGCTTTCGCTTTTCATTTGTCAAAGGCACATTTTGTCTGGCTGCTTGTAGTATACTCATCCATAACATGTGAACGCATTTATTTGTGTCTTTTAGAGAAGCTTATTGATTCAATCCATTTTTCCTATTGTGTGATTAATTCTCACTCTGTATGTAATTGAGTGTTAATTTTGTCCTGCTATGCATTAGCTGGTTGTATACATGATATGTTGTAACTACGTCAATTTTGAATACACTATTTTTGGCAGTGAATGTTCGATAAGCTTTCCAAGTGTCTTCTGAATTCACGCTCTACGTTTTCACGAATTGAAACCTCTAGACACATTGCAAACCGTGGAGAATCGATGGGATTTACCTATAAGCCATCTGAGTGAAATCAACTACTCATCAGATTGTCATTGGAATTTCATTCATTCATTTTCATAAATACACTCATGGAAGTCTCTGAATTGATGGAACTCAGTTCACAGAGGAAAACATGAGAAGATCGTTTGTCTTTCTAACCTTTGAGTTCTTTATAACGCTGATGACATGCTTGTTATTTGTCTGTTCTCAGAAAAGTGTTCTGTTCTTGTATAACTTTGAGAAGAATCATTACTTAAGATAAAATTTGTGGACGCACTAAATATATTTAGACAGCGAAGTCCTCATTGAATAGCTTATGAGTTTTTGGCGTGGTTATGCATGAAACATACAGGTTCTAGGTAATGTTTATATGAAAATATCAGTTAAATTTGGCAGGTGGATTGTTTTCTGTACACAGTCAGTTGTTTCTTACCCATGGATTTTGATTTAAGTGAATTATGAACGGGGTGACAAAATCGATCTAATGTACCCATGGAAAGAGTCTATGATTTGATTCGACCTGTGGATGGCAGGGTATGCTGTCCAATTGATATCTGTGAACTATAAAAATCTGTGGTCCTGACATGAAATTAATTAATCTTGGCTTTATTCTGAATGATATTACGCTACATTTGTTATTTATTAGCTGATGGCTGTCGTCGGTATCCACGATGTGAAAAGCATCAGCTGTATTTTTACATGAATCACAGTTTATTACAGTATTCACACTCATACTTGATTCCACCATCAGTTGTTTCAAGCGTAAGACTGTTTTCCACCGGGCTATCAGGCTACGAGTTTAGTGACATGCTCAATGGGTAACAATTATTATTTACTGAATATTTTGTGCTTATTGTTTACTGAAGTGAAATGGCATATCAGCTTCTAGGGATTTTGTTCCGGGTTTAATCTTATTTGAAACATTGTAACACCCATCACTCCTCCTTCCTGGGAGAATGATATTCAAAGGCTTCTAATAGTATTACTTTCATACTTTATATCTCCGTATTTAACTACTCTCTTCTACTCCGTGTGTAAATCTATCTATCTATCTATCTATCTATCTATCTATCTATCTATCTATCTATCTATCTATCTATCTATCTATCTATCTATCTATCTATCTATCTATCTATCTATCTATCTATCTATCTATCTATCTATCTATCTATCTATCTATCTATCTATCTATCTATCTATCTATCTATCTATCTATCTATCTATCTATCTATCTATCTATCTATCTATCTATCTATCTATCTATCTATCTATCTATCTATCTATCTATCTATCTATCTATCTATCTATCTATCTATCTATCTATCTATCTATCTATCTATCTATCTATCTATCTATATACATATATATCTATATCTACATATCTCTCTTCCCATCGTTCAACAAAACATTATACACCATTTTTAAGCTTTTTTTATACAACACTGGAGAACCAATATAACATTGATATTGATTTTATAAATTACGTAGTCCATTTCACTTGTAGAATAAAGCTTAAACTGTTTGTTGTTTTAATACTCTGCATCATCCACATCGTCACAATGTTCCTTATTGCCTTTTTCATAAGGTTGACGATTTTCATCAACTCTGTTTAAAGGGAGAATAAAATGCAATTAATGTCAATCTTTGTTTAAATTATGGAATCACTTAATTATTTCAAGAAAAAACTGCTTTAGAAAATTTCGATGATATGTTATTAGAATATAATTAAATTTTTAATAATTCGAGGATGCGCACTCGCTCCTGGTTTGGACCTATTTCCTGGAGGTGAATGCATCCCCAATGAGTTATGATTTCCCGATTGAGATTGAAACCCGGCGCGCAGTGTTTCCAACTCATGATGTTTTCGGTTATTGTACATATAAGATGGTTTCTTCTAGATTAACAAGGTGATTATAATACACAGCGACTTTTAGAGTTGAGTTGTAGCTTTTTCTGTTTTAGATGAAAATCAGTCATGTTGAAGCCTGACTGAATTTTCAATACTAATGTTGTTTGGCCATGCAACAATTTTAACAGTATTATTTGCTGTGAAGATCCTCTATGATTAGCCTATCTCGACAGAGTGTTATAACCATATTGAAATTATTTATGGAAGTTTGAGTTGTCGCGATTCACCAGCTGAGATTAAATAGTCACCCTAGAAGTCCTCATAGCAATCATCTGTGACAAAAGCTGCACATCCGAAGAAATTTCCCCCACAAAGGATAAATCAGTTTTGAAGAGTTGATTTATAAAGATTTTATCTGTTTTGATGAGTTAGACCGCGGATTGATATTTTTTTAAAAATTTCCTTTACGTTCCCCAGTGGAACATAGGGCTTCAGTTTAGTGGCTTGAAGATTCTGTAACAGTGCTTATTTTACAGGATGGGGTTGTTAGCCTCATGCCTAACCTTTCCTCTCCACCAGCATTATTTCTGGCTTGGCAAGGTAAAGGAGTTCGTAGGCCGGAGATTGAACCGCGGACCATGTGCATGGTTGGCGGGCGTCCTAACCACTATGCCACCGAAGCAGGGATTGATATTAGTAAGAAAACCACTGAAAATCAGTAGTTGAGTACTCAGCATCTGCTTAATCCTAGTTTGTGAATCATCAGCGGTATTCACCCACCCCACTCCCAGGGATCGAATCCAGGATCTTCCTGTTTAAACGCTAGATCTCTAACTGACATCATTACAGGGTCTAATTTGAAAAACAAATCAACTCCTGAAAATCAATCCGATCCTCGCTTGTGACCTGCTACAGGACGGAGTTTCCTGGAATTCTAGTGACAAGTCATGACCAGTGAGGTCCATCAAGTAGGCTGTGAGTATGGATTGCCCACCGATGATGGTGGTTGGTGGTCACGCTAAATATCAAGAATCAGTAGAGGTTAGAATTCATGGGCCCTTGAGTCGGTTCCCAGTGGCTGAATGATCTACACCCTTACCTGGTAATCGGAAAGTCCTGGGTTCGAATCCCAGTGGAGTGGTTGAGTAGCGCTGATGATTCCCAAACTAGTATGAAGCAGATGCTCAGTACTCCACTACTGGTTCTCAATGGCTATCTAACTGATATCGATCCGCGGTCTAACTTGAAAAACATAAGTGGAATGCTGAACTGCAGACAGCAAAGATGTTAAGGAATTTCAATTTCTAGTTAAAATATCAGGTTAAACATTATTTATTTATGTAGTGAATTCAATTTTTGATGTTCCCGTCGACTGATTGGATCAATCGAGGCTAAGCACTTCGGTTGTACAAGAGGTGGCTCTCATGGCCCAAGTGGTCTAGCGGTTAACGCCCTGGCGTTTGAGACTATGGGCGCTGAGTTCTGAATTCAGTGGAGGGACCACGCCATCAATGAAGGTACATCCAGATAACGAGTCCCAAATAGGGCGAAATGTGCATCCTTGATTCCACTACTAGTCTCTATCCACCAGTAAAATACCAATTGGAGACTATTACAGGCTGCTGAATAAATGTCCTAAGCTATACTGAGAATTTGTTTCCAGTGTGGATGTTTTTGAGAGCATTCGTTGGTGATAGAGCTATATTACGAACTCACAGAAGTGGGAATCATCAGTCATTCATTTGCAGCCCAGTAGCTAAACGCTTGACGGGCTTGGTCTGGCTACGCGAACGTCCTGGGATTGATCTTCAGTGTGTGGGGTCATGGGTATGCATTACTGAAGAGTCACTAGTTAAGACAAAACAGCTGCACTAAATTCACTGGTTTCCAATGTTTCTCTAACTTTTCAGTTAGTGATACAGATTTCCACTAATCTATATATCAGAAGTATGTCAGAATTCTTAATGCATCACTGGTTTGTGATTTCACAATACTAATCCTACTACTGAAAAAGAAATAATTAAGTGAAAAACAACTGTTGTTGATAACTCACGCTGGAGAATAATTGCAAACAACTACGTAATTCTTTGTACATTTTTGAACACCACATCCAATTTCAGTTTCTTCTCCTCTCACCATCTAAAAGTTATACAAATTTATAAACCATATAGTATGTTTTCATTGCGTAAATCACCTATCAAAATATTGATTTATTCGAATTTCCACCAAAATACCACCGATCACTGATACAGTAACTACACTTAACGCAGTAATAATCATTCTAGTCAATTTAACCGATTAGTTTGCACTTAACAGGAAGGAATGTTTATCAAGTTAACAATTTTATCGTCGACTTCAACAGTCGGTGCTAAATACTGGAATTCTGATCTGATTGGCGACCTGCTTAAACCGTTAAGCTACCTAAATTTCCTAACCACGAAAATGCATTGTGTTTTCCCCGTTCCATATTGTTATGATGACTTAATTATCACAGTGTTTCAGACTTTACCCTTAGGGACTACTTCAAATAAGTCTCTATCTATCACTTGGAATTGTTAGTGAAGGAAATGGAGGATGAACATTGTGAAATAGTACTGGATCAGTCTTGGGATGGATGTTATCGATTATTATATTCTTTGAAGATTCTGCACAAGGAGTAAATACCTTACAGTAAAGCTTTCTGACAATTCGGTATTATGTGTGAATGCATATTCCAGCATAAAGCTATTACTATTATTAATGAAGTGAAGTTTGCTCTGCTGAAATCTCATCATTTTAGTTATCAAGAAATGCGAAAACCAGAGAGTCAACAATCCAAGCAGGAAGCAGTATTTCTTGATGAATCGTGGAAGAATCAGTTACTCTTTCTGAAAGACAGTTATCTGGAATTCACAGACTTTTGTCTAAAGATAGCCAGTCAGTGTGGATGGAGTAAACAAATGGAGTTTTGTCGTAACTCATTTCAGTGGAGTGAAGAATTATGCGGATAGAATAAGAAAATAACAAGACTTGATCAATCTACTGACACTCAGCAGACATTTAACTGACTTTTTTGAAAAACATCAACTCAGTTGACTATAAACACGGAAGTTATCAACAAGGAACTAACTAGAATCAAGAAAATCGGAGGAGAAACCATCGTAGTATTACTACGATATGAACCACATGTTGATGAAGTCATTACAGAGTGTGTCACACGGAATAAATCAACCAAATAACTATACGACATTTACAAGCAGGATAACTGAACACCAACAAAATAATGCATTTAACTATACCCAGTCACAACCAAACCGCATGATCTCAGTTCACTAATCTCCATAAACATATATATATATATATATTGTTAGAGGCTTCAATTACTAGAATTTTGAAAAATGAAATTATGACGAACTGAAATACGCTAGAGAGGTTTTTCGAAATATCGGATTCAGGTTAAACGACAATAAGACACCTAGAGAATTGTACACCGTGTGCGAAGAGACTAAAACGAGCCTTAAAATCTCAAACAAATAAAAGTAGACAGGATTCACGTCTACCGACTTCGATCGGTTTAGAATAAAGAGAGCAACTGAGAAACTAACAAAGTGTGAGTCAAATTGAATGCTGTGAAGGAAACATTGAGTGTGGGTGTAACAAAACACCAGAAGTGACTTTGGTTAAGATGTGATCACAGTTTTAGCGACTTTTCGATCAGCAAATCTAGTGACAAGCAGCTTTTGTTGAACTGCCTTACAACATGCTAATGCATCAGCCAATAATTTGAGATTAATAGAGTAGCCATTATAAGTGACACACTTATCTAAATGAAGTCAACAGAATCAGTCAGCCACAAGCATATCAATTACAACGACTAATCATAGAAATGAAATCAACTATTCAGTGTAGTCCTCTCAAAATATTCCTATCTGGCCATTTCATCTTCAGTATGAAGTCAGCGAAATCAGCTGCTGACGAAAGTCTGCATTAGTCTGCTGTACGTGCTATTCGTGATGCACCGAATTTCTGACCCATATAGAAGAAACAACTCACTCAACATTGATGTTGAAAATTCGAATTTTGTTTTCTTTACACTGATTACAGTAGATTTCCGAAGTGCTTTCAGAGTCGTGAAGGTGTTCCTTGACTTTTGAATTTTGTTTATGACATCCTCATCCGTGTCGACTGTCTGTATTTGAAACGATGCTACCCAGACAACAAAGTGAAGGAGGTGACCTCCTTCAAGTTTATTCCCTTTGACAGTGATGGGTGTTTTCTGTGGTTGGTGTCTGAGGATCTTCATCACCCTCGTCTTCTCTAAGTTTACTTGAATTTCTGTCTTTGCTGCAAAAACAGGACTACGTCGTCCCCCTGCCCCTAAACCTATAAAAATTATAATTGTCCTAATTATTTTATTTTTATTTATTTTCACCACTTCATCTTTAATTACGTGTTATCCTTGTAAAATTAATTTATTCTATCCATTTCTACTTTTTAAATGTGTATTGATTTTCTTTGTTACTTATCAACCCATTGACATTTTGACACTGACTAATTATTGTTAACAAACTTATCGCCACTTGTTTGGTAAACTGTTGTGTATTGTAATAAAAATGCTATTCGTGTATATTAGAGTAGAGCCAGAGATGAGGATCTTATTGAAAAGTAAATATTTCTTCACTCAATCTTTCTGTTTGCTGCTAGCGTTTTCTGCCAGTTTGTTGATTTTTGCTTGTGAATTTTCATGTTTGTGTAACATTAGAAATAAATCGCCTGCTGATTGCAGATCTTCTTCTGATTTCTTACCACTCCAGCATACTACAGTCTTCTTACTTCCCAATCTCTGATGATTAATCCAGTCTACCACAATTATTAGTGTCATCCTGAGTGATAGCAGGCAGCTTCTTCTCACTACTCTATTCACTTGAAAGTCTTCTTTGAGTTTCCTGATGTGGATCACATGACGCGTGGCATTGTCATACTGGTGTTGAATCCGGCTGATGAAGATTTGGGGCACGCAATGATCAACAAAGTAGATGGAATTCTTACACACACACCCTCTTCAGTAGGTCGCTATATTCATCAACCTTGAAATCATCCCTCTCATAATAAGTCAACATATGAAATAGAAACATCGTAAACAAAAGAAGGCCTACTTCAGGGAATATGTCCACTGAAACACTGTTTCAAATGCCTAATTCGACAAAGAAAATAAATTGCGTCTTTTCTTTTGTAATTTGAGGAATATACTACTGTGAACTAAAGTAAATTGGAAGTCATGCAGCCCCTTCATCACTTCATCAACCCAACATGCTGTACAGATAAACGATAGTGCACTTACTTGCTTGTACTGCATACATGTGCCTTTACACGTGTCTGTTTTATACGTATAATTTCTATATTCACTAAACCAACTGGCTACTGCTCTGAAAAAAGAGAAAGAAAAGGAAGTTACACATTTTTTTATTTTCCTTCACGTTCCCCAGTGGAACATAGGGCTTCAAGCGAGTGGCTTGAAGTTTCTGTAGCAGTGTTTATTTTACAGGATGGGGTTGCTAGCTAGCCTCATGTCCAACCTTTCCTCTTCACCAGCAGTACTTCTGGCTTAGCGAGGTAAAGGAGTGCGTCCAGTGGCCAGGGATCGAACCCCGGACCGTGTGCATGGTCGGCGAGCGTCCTAACCGCTATGCCACCGACGCATAAGGGACAAATACAAATGATAATAATAATAAAACTATAAACTCCTTTATAAAAGACAACTCGCTTTTGAATTGTGGGACTATCAGCAATATTTTGAGCTACTGAAATGAAATCGTCGAACTTCATATCCGATGGATTATCAGCGGTATAATTACATCGGTTAGCTGTAATTTGAGCTTTCGTAGCTAATTCTTTATTCCAAACCTGTTAAATAGAAGAAAAGGTATGATATGAAGCGGAACAGAAGAAAGGAAGATGAATTCACCTAGCTTTCAAAGTGTTTGTAGCATAGAAATCGGTACGTAGGTCAACAAATAAGTGTCTTGTTGGGAGCATCCGGCTGTCCATAAAGTTCAAGGTCCCGTCTGAGCTACATTTTTCCGGTCGAACTAGCTTCATTTGACTAATGTTATCCACATAACCGCAGCTAAGAGTGTACTTTTACTTATGTGATATATCCTGTTTGCTAATAATTAAGCTCGTCAAAATTTAGTAGATATCTTCATATTTGTTCATATACATTCAAACAATCTTGATGAAAACGTTTGGCAAAACCTCTGTGCATGTATTGATACAAAGATAGAATTGGGGACAAAAGCAGTACGTTAGCAATCATATTAGTATTATCCGAGTGAGTTACTAAATTTCACGAATCATTTAACACAAACTCAGACAGTTGCACATTACCACCACTCTAATCACTCCGAAGAGCGTCTCTGACTGCAGGCAGCACTGGGTGACGTCGGTTGGAATCTCAGTAGGAACATGAGTTCCCCGAAGCTTTCAAATACGCCTTGGTGACTGGTGGGTGCCAACAGACACAAAACGCTGGTCAGAGGATTCTTTCTGATTGCCTTTAACCAGCTAATATCGACACTGTTACTTTTAATTTGTCTTTGACAAATTTCTATTGGACGTGAATTCATTGGTAGCTGCTCACATGTCTGCTTTTAGTTTGGACACTTTGTAGTTGCTTGAGGATTAACTTGATGTTGTTTGATTGGTGGCAGCTAACATTGGAGTCCAAGACTCGAACATAGTCCAATTTAGGACACGTCAACTGGATATGCTTACAAAATGGTAGTGTTCCCCACTGTAACCCGGTGAACAAAGGTAATTGTCAAAGTCCCATGGCCTAGGAGATAAAGCTTTGGTGTTTGAAATGATGGGTCTTAGAATTCAGTCTGAGTGCGAACATCAACACTATTTGGAAATGGAGGCATAGTTATCAGATGACGTGTCTCCAATGGTTAAAAGATTGGACATCCTGGCTTATTTATATTACATATAGTTGTGTTTATGCCAGAAATATAAAATTTCTTTTCTGTCAACTGCACATCAAAAAAGGAAAAAAAAACATGAAACAGTCAACTGCAGTATCAACGTTCCACTTCGATTAATAAATAATGAATAGGACTTACCAATTTTGCCAATGATTTAGCTGGTGGTTGTCTTGGAACTTGACAAAAGCGAATTGAATTACGATAATATTTATGCAGTTGAAATACTTCTCTAACTTCTTTATTTAATTTTAACTTTACAGCATCACTGTGAACCAGTAATGTGGCAAGGAACAGGAAAATGACTGAAGCAGGCGTCATCAATGTATAATATTACACGAGAAAAGAGGTCACACAGAATATGGCATAACTATGCTCCATATATATATAGTGGTATAAAAACAATGGCTTTGTCATGTTTGATTTGTGTTCTGGAAATATTGACATTTACTCTGACAAGTGTATGACAGAAGCCTTAACTCCTTCTTCGTGATATGTATTGACGAAACAGCATAAATGTTACGACACTATTGTTGATTAGACAGGCAATACATTTCTGAGTTAATTTCATTTTTGCAAGTGATTTTTAAACGGTTTAAACTTAGTTTTAGTTGAATTATTAGCTGAAACAATTACGATTTATGCCCCCTTGGTTGTAATCAACTGATTTATCAGACAGAAATATAACTAGTGTGGTTAAGCTGTTCCACCCTTGAATGGTAATGATCAATGTTGATTACATCTTCACAGTACCATCGTAATGCGTTGGTCCTGGAGAAGTGTTAGAAAGTCTTGTTTCTACTTAAGCCTTAAGGTTGGTAGTCTTTATCGTAAGTAAAAATAAGAAATTTAAAACAAGCAATAAAGGTTAATAAAGCAGGATTTAATGAATTCATCAAATTTTGGTAGAACTCGTCAGCTGAATACTCTACATACGCGGATATATACTTTTGAAATTACATTGGGAGGTATAGGACTGATAAGTAAACAAACTACAGTGAATTAGTCATGCAGAAAGACAGGTGCGAATGTTTTTTCCAGGTCATGTGCAATTAGATAAGGGGAGAGAGAGTATGGGAGATCAAAATTAAGATAAATTGCATTACGCTTCAATTACATCACCTAGATAAACAATTAGACATTAGAGAATTTAACAAGAATTGCAACCAGAGGGATGTCAATAGTAATAGTTATAATAACAATAATAATAATAGTGCTGAAGTGAGTTGAGATAATGCTACTGATAAAGGATAGTTTTAAATGAATCAAGAATAATAATAATGAGAATAATAATAATAAGAGGTAGAATTATAAGTCAAACGTATTGCCATGGTATATTCAGAGTCATGACCATCTCCTTTTGTACACAGAGACCTGGTTTGTAAACTCGAATTGCACAAGCCTCTGCAATTGCAAGCATCTTCTTGTTTCTTTGTCTGCTGACAACAGTGAATGACTTGACCGCGTTGATATCATGCCCGTAATCCACAAGATGCTTTGTTATTGAGGATTTTGGCACTTTGCACTCAGCTGTTTTCAACCATTTTGGCAAATGCTCCATCATGCGAGTAGACAATCGCCTTTCCGTACGACCTATGTATTTGCTTCCACAAACCCACCTAAATTCGTATCGGGAAATAAATGTTTCCAAAAAGAAGAAATCTTGAAAACAGAATGAGGCGGAAATTACTTTGCTAGAATAATTTATACCTTGATATAGCTGTAACAATAAGAAGAATCAGGCTGTAATTGCATTATGGGCAAGATTTATCTTGATAAAGTCTCACAGTGTTATACAGTAGTATTTACTGATGACCGCGTTTCGAGCCCAATTTATTACTACTGCTCATAATCATATCAAGGCACTACTCACACAACTTCCTAACTTCGTTTATATAATTCCATTATTTTCCATCGCTTGATTTCATTGGTAGTAGTATTTTCCATGTTTCGGGTATGAGTGATGAGTCGTTTCTACTGCACGTGTTGGGTGTAGACTCAATGAACAGGGATTGAGTAATCAACCTCTCTCTCCAACTATATAGATTACTTTTTAGAATTTTAACCCTCTTCCACCCTATTGTGTGGTTGTGTGTTAACGCATGCATTGCAATTGCTGAGCTTTTTTCTAAATTACTTATCCTCTCGGGGTCAACAATTCTTGCCTTGGATAAATTCTTATGTTCTGACAATCTGACTACCCCGACCTACTAGTTTAACCTATGTAGTTGGCCTCACAATCATTGCAAGGTATTTTGTAAATTATATTATTTTGTGTAATTGGATCAACCTACGGGGTCGTTTAACCTACAGAGAAGGTCGAGGGTAGTCAGATTGTTGGAACATAAGAATTTACCTAAGGTAAGAATGGTTAACCCCGAGAAGATAAGTAATTTAGAGGAAAACTCATCAATCGCACTGCATGCATTAACACACAGCCACACAATAGGGTGGGTACGACAGGCTAACACTTAAAGCCTACTTTGAGATAAAACTGTGGCAACTAATTCCCACATTAAACCAAATATTCTTTGGAATGAACTTGTCGTTCAAAGATAGAAGTCATGGGTGTCATGGGAAAAAGTAAATAATGATAAAAAACACAAGGCTGATTAAAGTTGATTTAAACAATAAATTGTTTTTCTCTTAACACCAATTATTGTTTATTCTCACTGAATGAATTCATAAGCAATGTATATAGATAAATCTATGAGAAAAAAGTTTCTGTAAGACTTGATGGACAGACAGAGTGGATTATAAGATGCTGGAAAACAAAATACTGACTTATGTGGCACAAACGTAGTTACTTTCTTATTCATCAGTGTGCACAATTTAACTGCAGTTGATTTATGTCTCATGTCGCACAAAGGCAGCACAGAGACGACTTCAGGCGAACAGAAGTGATGGAGGCACCTAACCAACAATATTAAGCAATCATCATTTCCAACAGGAGAAACCTAAAGAAAACTGTCTCTTTCACCCTCCTAAACAGCAGTGTCTTAGTCACAGGTGGTGACAATCAGTAGGTCAATAACAGACAGGACCACAAAAACGAGATAGGCATTGATTCCTCTGAAATCAGTGTGTCGATCTGTAGACCTCAGTATATTAATGTTAAGTCAGTGATTAAATATTCATCTAAAGACTTGGTACTCACGGTCCCAAAAGTATTCCGAAAAGGCTGAAAATCTCGTTAAAAAACGTCACATTAACTCGATGTTGGAAATCAGATGGTGTGCCACAAAGAATATGAAACAAGCAACTGTGAAAGGCAGCGAACCAGCTGACAACATTTTTACTCAACAAATATGCAGAAGGGTTTGAAGAAGGATTGGACATACGCCGATTAGACGGCTGAGTCACGTTACACTCCAGACATACAGTGGAACTGGACGACTGTCGTAAACGACTGTCTCAATGAAAAACTTAAGATTATTAGAGAATTACTTGGTAAAAGTGGTCATCCAGATAAGTTCATTTACAAAAATTTGGATTAAGCATCAAGGAGATTCAGTACCGCAACAGCTCCGAAAAAACCACTGTTCATAAAATCGCAGTTCCTCGGTGACAACATCAGCGAAATAATAACACAGCGCCTGAATAATGCAGTTAAAATAGTTTAGTATGCAGCAGAGGTACGTTGTCTCTTCACTACCACCCCTATTCTAAGTTCTAGAAATAAGGATAAACTAACTAAAATTTGCCTCCTCTATGTGTATCTACCAGTTTGACTGCAGCTGAGGAGCCAGCTACATTGGGTGTGCAACTAGGCGGCTTCATCATCCTATTTCCGAACATAATCCAGTACGATTAAGCAAGGGACAAACAAGAGCCATTCGTAGCTCTATTGTAGCACACTTGTGGATAGTTACCATAAAGTTGATGTTAACGCAGCATTTAAAGTTATTTTAAAATTATAAAAATTATAATTATCCAAATTATTTTATTATTTTTTGTGACTAATTTATGTGTAACTACAAGCCAACATCATCTGGATCGTCTTATTTTTCTTTAATAACCCATTATGTAATCGACTTCAGCATTCGCTTATTCTTTAATTAATAATTTTAAAATTCTCATTGTAGCATTAACAACACAATATTCAGCGAAGAGACTCTTTTCAACGAATTTATTATCAAGCTGTACAATCGTATATATGTGGTTTTTTTTATAAAAATCATATCCGGTGAGGGAATTAGGTCAAAGGTGTGAATACATGAAATAATAATAGTATGAAATGCAATTAAAATATTTGTGATTATGATCATAGTTTAATGTCAAGTGGCAAAATAATTAATGTCGTATATAGAATAATACATAAGGTGTATAGAATTTTGGAAAGGGGTACATTATCATAAGATTAGTAGACGAATATAAAATGTTACATAACATGGTGTGAAATTTGATAAGATAGAATTCAATATTGTATAAATAAAAATATAAAAATTAGTAATATTGGGTTTAAAATGTCAAGTGGGTCAACTGGAAAATTTTCAGAGTGAGAATAGTAGTAATAATAGTGATAATAATAATAATCGTAGTAATAAGGGAAAAGTACATAGAATAACTAAATAAACAAAATAAATGAATGTCTATCCCTCTACGGCCAAGGCAGAAGTACACAAAGATCTGGCTCAAAATCATGAATTGCCAAGGCCTCAGCTGTCTTTAGAAGTCTGTAACGAAGAAAACGCGGTCGGGAAGTTAGCATGGATAGCGTCGGCCGTGGATCAAAACCCGGACAACCTACATGGCTGACGAGCGGCCTACAACTGTGTTACCGACGCACATCATACAGTGTACTGCTTCCTAAAAATAAAATAAAATAGTAATAATAAAAAAAATGGAGAATGGAATAAACGTAATGATTTACAACACAAAAGAATGTATAAACACCTAGTGAATAGACAGAAAAACATTCTCTTGTAGTTTTCAAGATGAACATATACGGATAAAGAATACGATAACGACAAGCATACACAAGAAAATAATGCAGGACATGGGCACAAGGAAAACTGCATCTAGATATAGACAGTTATTGTCTAATTTTGTTTAACGTATTCCTGACAGGGACAGTGGCTGACATCATGAAATGAAGCATTATGAGAGAGGGTTACATGCAAAAGCAAAGGAAATTGTAGTAGGAGATGATGTGTGAAACTACAAGTAGTTCATTAAATCACTGCATACTGTTAATTACTGGTCAGAAGTATTACCATCTAACTTTACTTCAAACTGCCCAAAATATATCAGGTGAATGTTTTCGATTAGGAATGACTCAAAAACGAACTGATACTATCCACTATGAGTTGAGAACAACACATTTAAGCGAACAATATGGTTGTCAAT